CTCCCAGAATTCCCCAGCCAGCATGCTGGCTGGGGAATTCTGGGAGTTGAGGTCCATACATCTTCGGGTTGCCAAGGTTAAGAAATACTGCCTCACAGCATAGAAATGTTCAAAGCCAACCTACTTCCTGAAAAAGAGATGGTGGGAAGTGCTATTTCGAAAAATGAACTGTATGATACAACACCAATGTCTGAACAATATGTATGAGCCACTATACACTCACTTATATGCCTTGGGAGCCCACAACACAAGTTACCATGTGTTTAGTGCTCCATCCCTGATAAAGAAGGCTAGAAGTCACCCTCTCGGGGAGATGGGCAGCGTATAAATTTAACAATAAATGAATTTTAAAAATGTCTGCCCCTTCTCTCCCATTTCCTGCCTTTTAATGGTTTTCCTTCTGGAAGACATTTTTAAAAAAGATTTCTGTGGTGGTATGATTAAGGTTGGTGTTACTATGGACAGGCTTGTAGTAACCTTCCTCACCCCATGTCCCCCATGTGGCTGCAAAGGGGTGAAAACTACAAAAGCAATGGAGACATGATCATTTTCACAGGACACCTCTATGATGTCATTTCAGTCTTTGGGGTGAGGTGAACCAACTCAGTCGCTGGTAGGTAGTTCACATGACATGAGAGGAAATAGTTGACAGGGAGGGTAGTAATTAAAGTCCAAAGCATCTGATAAGCACAACTATATGCTGATCAGTGTTTTCTGTAGCAATCAACAAGTTTGCCTCAATTTGATTTGGAACTGGGCTTAACTATTTCACTACCCCACCTCCATCCTCACCTTTCCAAACCAAGCGTTATTGGGCTTATGCCATACTGTGTTTGTATCTAATAGCATCCTTGTCATAATCAGAAGCAGCACAGGGTCCAAAGTGTCTTTTACCTGGCCAGGAGCCTGCAGCCCTCCAAAAAACCTCTTCTCTCTTTCACTGCTCTTTTTCCATACCACTTTTCCATACCAGCATTCCAGGGGCATGAAATTTGGAGTGTGTCTCTAATGATACCTAACACATCAAGTGAGGACAGGTCAGTTCCATTCAATATCCAAGCAAAAGAATAAATTTGGGGTTAGTTCTTTTTTTGTATTTGAGGTAAACTCTCTGATTTGGAATCTAAATTCATATTACAAACTTAGGCTAGTAAAAACTTCAGTGATTTTGTTTGTTTGTTTTTTAAACAGAGTGCCTTTTGTTAGACCAAAGATGGTACGCTTGGAGTATGTTACAACTCTGCATCCTGTGATGTACTAGCTCTTTATAAGTTATACACAGTTCATTTCATCAGAAGAAATTCCATGACTGGATGATTTGAGATTAATAGGCAAAAGTTACAAATCTGATACTGTCCACACCCATTTCAATGGTTTGACTACATAGTATGTTCTAAAACCCCAGAAACCAGAGAGAATTGAATTAAACAATCAGTACATGGTTTGCTGCCTTAAGGATGATATTGTCAACTATCAGAGAGCTTGTTTGGGAAAAATTTGCATACATGATTACTTTTATGCCCATTAACATTCCCCATGTAGCTAACCACTCTGTCTAAATAAACATATGGAAACTAAGGAACAAATTATGATTGATAAATGGGTTCTCATGACAAAAAACTTTATAGATTTATATTGTTTATTTCTCACAGGGACAGTATGCAGTGAAGAAACTTTTTAATGCTAAACCATGCATTTCAGATATACTTTGATCAAAAGCACAGAAACATTTGTTCTATGTGTTTTAATTTTCTCATCATTTCCCCCTCCCCCCACATTTCATGTTTATAGTTTTACAGAACCCGCTCGTCTTCCCCCACTGAGTGTTGCCACATGACCCCATGGAGTAAAAAGGTATTGGAAGATCACTAAATAAAACCTTCTCATATAATCTGTCCCTTTCACTCCCTAATCCTGTTTCCTGCTGCTTTTTGGCTGACTAATTTTGTTGTCTTTATTTCATGCTCTTATCGACAAAGAACATCAACTTTTCTTCACCCCTCCCATTTGGTGTTAAGTTTTACTAGATTTAAAAGTAGATGAGCAAGTTTCCTTTTGCTGATTAATTTTAAATGCCTGTACTAAATTTGTATGCAGCTGAAAAAAAATAGATGGCAATCTCAAAAAACTACTAGAATGTGTCCAATGATATTAAAGCCACAGCATGGACCCAGTCAAAGGACTGTTATCACTGCTATTGTTTGCTGAAGAGACACTGCTGGCAGACAGTCAGAGATTGTGGTCAGGTCACTTCACTCCCTTTGTCCAAAGACATTGTTATGCAGGGAAGGTATTGGACACAAAATGCAAGCTAATGCAGGCTATTTGGGGAGGGGGGGCTTTTTTTTTTTGCATGCACCAACTTTTTTCGCTCAGAGGTTACCTAGGAAACAAAGTCTTTTGTGCTCGTAGTTTATATGAACTATTCATGGCTGCTAGGGACAGCACAAAAGCTGAACAGATAAAGAAAGTGGCAGTGTTTTCCTAACCCAGAGATGGACAGAAATATTTTCCAAGAAGACGGGTCCCTTTTATGTTTTTGTGTATAGTTTTGCAGCCATTTCTGACAAGGTAAGAAAAGTAGCTTGATGTAACTTGCATAAATCGCTGTGAAGTGCAGCCTTCAGCATAGACGTAGGGGATTAAGAATGATTGTGAGTCTATTTTGTGCCGTCAGCAGGAACGTTGGGCAAAACATTTATTACAAAAAAATAAACTAAAGTTAATTTGACTGTGGTCCTTAGTTATAAAAAATAAAAGTATTTAAATGCTCTGACAGATTTTAAAAATGCACAGATTAAATCTTATCCCTTTAACGGCAGCTAAAAGAATGAAATGCTTCCAAATAAACATAAAGGCAAAATATCAAGGAGTCATCAGAACCGAAGCTGAAAACTAAAATTAGATAAGAAACAGACTCTTCATGATGACTTCTTCCAGTATATAACAGTATAATGTTAGATTAAATGAAAAATACACACTTTAAAGATTGGGAAAAGATGTATTTATCATTCAAGTAGTTGCCATTTTTCAGTTCTGTGAACATTTGCACACATTGTCCTAATCTTTTACTCTCACATAGTAAAGCGAGAAAGCACAACTGCCCTGCTTTCTTTTTTAAAAAAATATTCTATGCTTTGAGGTCGTTGGTCTCTCTTAATTCCTTTTTCTCTTTTATGCTTGTTTAAATTGTGTGTTCTGAATTACATCTGCATGATTACTAGATATTCTAAAGGTGCTGGTTCAAACTTTACTTTTTAATTTTCCTTTTGATATCTGATATTTATTATCAGATGGCTGTGTTCGCATGACACACTTAACTTGGTGACCAAAAACCCATTTTCTGGTCCAACACCATATGGTAAACAGTAAATTAATCAAATGAGCCAGGTTTGTATTCCACAGCAGCTGCTAACAACTACCCCAGGGTTAGCACTACTGAAGCTCAGGATTTGTGAATACATCCACTAGATCATAACCTGACATGGTTAAGTATGTTATATGGACACAGTGAATGCACCCCTTTAGTTGACTCTAAATGCATACCTTGGGGCTCCTATGTTTCAATTCTGTTAATTTCAGAGAGACTTTGCTTTGAAATTAAATCAGGTATTTTAAAAATCTAAAATATTATGTGTACAGGTAGTCAGTCCCCAGGTTAAGAACACCCGGTTACAGACGACCCATAGTTAAGAACGGAGCTTATTGTAGCAAAATTCGAGTTAAATACACAACGATTTGAGTTAAATACACAATGGTTTGAGTTAATTACACAATATTACTTATACAATATTATACAATAATACTGTTCTGGCTTACATACAAATTTGGCTTAAGGACAGAACTTGGGAGCGGAACTCATTTGTAAACTGGAAACTACCTGTACTTCTTTCAAAATATGTTGAACTCATGAGAACAATTCTTAGGGCCATACTACAGTTCTACTGAAATCAATGCTGCTTAAAGTAATATTACTCAGGATCAGGTATGGTTGTAAGCCATATGTAAATTGTTAAGTATACATTTGTAAGTTTGCATGCAATTAATGTGACATGAATGTTTGTTGATGCTTATTTTTAACAAAATGAATACATTCAAACGTACATATAGCTGCAGAAATGGCATGGATCATACAGATAACCCAGATGTCTGCTAAGCATAAGCATACAGAATTAGAAACTTCTACTTAAAAATTTATGTTAATCTCCAGTTCTGAAATTAGCCTTCCAGTGCTAGTGCATTCCAGATGCATTGCCTTACAATTCTCTTCTTCCCTTCCAAGACAACAAAGATGGGTACCGATAATGGGGATAACTACAATCATCCATCTTAAGCGGTGATGCCTTAAATGTTTCCAGTAGGTGATATGTTTTGTATCTGCTATATGACCATTGAAAAAAAAAATTCTTATAAGCGCCAAAGAACTCTTCCTTCCTTTTTTTACTTCCAATTCTCACCATCTTGTTGTTTGTCATGGGTATTGATTTTGATTGTATTTATTTACAGTCCCACCCTTCTGAGGAAGAAGATACAGATGTCATGTTAGGGCAGAGGCCGAAAAACCCAATACATAATATACCTTCTACACTGGATAAGCAAACAAATTGGAGCAAAGCACTACCTCTCCCAACTCCAGAGGAAAAAATGAAGCAAGATGCCCAAGTGATTTCCTCTTGCATTATCCCCATCAATGTCACTGGTACAAATCTCTTACTTCTTTTGTTGTTGTTGTTGTTGTTGACTTGAAGGTATTTTATCACTTATTTTATCACAGTATCTCTCTAAATGTAGGATTTTACAAACAGCAAATATAAAGCTTCTGAAACAAGTATTAAGTTTGATATCCACTAAGACGGGAATGAGTCCCATTACATTCAGTGAGAATGACTTCACATTAAACTTCTATACTGTGATTATCCATGGACACTGACGTTGATATAATTGGATTAAAAAGGCGTAGTTGTATTCAGCAACTGTGTGATACTCATGTTTGTTATGTGCTGGAATATCCCTTAAAACAGTGAAATATTTCTCACTAACAACTTATGTTATTGTCATGAGTGCTACAGCAAATTAGTAGCATTCTAGCATTTGCTTGAATGCCTTCCATAGTGCTTCAAAGCCAAAAGTGTAGGAGTAATATTCTAATTGATTTATAGGATTTATTTTAAAATTCCCTTCACTTATCAGAAGGCAGTATCCACATATAATATATAGAGATCTACTTTCCATTTAGGATTGTCATAAAAAGAGAAAGAGACACACAATATAAAGTCAAAATGGTAATCCATGTCTAGTACTGTCTCTGAATTAGCTGTATCGGCTCATTCGTCTTTCATCTCATTCCATGGAGAGGGAGCATTACGCCAAAAATAAAACTGTCATGAAGAGTAGAGGAAGCTATCCATTTAGATCTCAAAAGTTTCTCTATATACAGTATTGCCTCTGAGTGCTCATGAAGGTTTCCATATCATTACACAGTACAAAAATAATAATACCTTTACAAAGTAATCAAAAATAAAAATAGCCACTATCAAAGTTAATACACTGCTTAAAAATTGATAGCCACCAGTGGCATAAAAATATCTCAGTTGCCTGCCAAAAACAATAAACAAGGGGCATACCTCTGCTTCTTCTTTTTTTTTAAAGAGATATTGGGCTTTTCAAGTGATAACCACTAGATCTATGTAAATACTTTGAAGAGGCACTTTGTTCATGAATTCAGTGTTCCTCTGAATCAGCTCCTCAAAGTATCAAAGCCACCACTGGAAACCTTGATATATTTAAGGTTTATCAAGGTCTTACCCAAAGTCTTGTGGAAATGAAGGGGCTTCTTACTGTTGCCATCACCCATCACCCACAATGAACTGATTCCCTGTCTGCTTGGTGCTGTGAGCAATAACAGATCCACTACTGAGGCCCATAAGGGACATTGCAATTAAAACAACATAGAAAATAATATTTCTGGTGTCATGATATCATTCAGAAGATTAGGAGAACTAATGAGAGGTGATTCATGGAACTTCCACATAGATAGGGTGGTCCTATGAATGAAATTTGCAAGGTAAATTCACACTTCCATAAATTTCAAGAAACCATGCTACATAACTTTTACCCAATCCTATCATACCCACTCAATAAGAAAACCAACCATATCAACAGCCATGTGAGTGAGGGTCCCGTTGATACAAAATTACAGGATGGCTACATGGGCAGCCAGTCCATGTAGTTCATCAACCCACTCCAAAATGGACAAGTAGGCTTCATCAAGTGTGACATTTGGCTAAACAGTGCTACAGAAAGTACTGTAATAAATTCCTAAACCAACCAGAACGAATACTGCTGTGAGGTATCCATATAGCATTAGGTCCGTTGATCTGGTGATTGAGAGCTAGGACTCACTGTGACATTTCCCTCTGTAATCAGAAGATGGATCTGAGAGGCTTACTTACAAAGGAAGGGGAGAAAAAAAAGTGCTAAACATGTTACTACAGGTTTTATAAGTCATACTGTTAGTGAAGAATATATTATTTATAAGCCAAGATCAACATGGCTGAAATCAGTTCCTATCACTGAAGGGAGACTTCCTTCAGAGAAACAGAAGTGTCTTTTGGCCATATCCAGAAGACATTTTGGTCAGGGTAGTCTGTGCAGCAAAAGCATCTGCAGCTGCTTGAAGGCTTCAGGAAATGTGTTCCCATTGAATGCTTTGCCCTTGATCAAAATGCCACATTGAATTATTTGCAGTGCTTTTATGTACTCTCTAATTACCTTCAGCTTACCATTTTAACTACACAATGCATTAAATGTTTTTCTGGTTTAGTATATCTTTGTAATATATCAGGTTTTAGTGGGAATACTTGTACAACTTAAGCTATTATTATAAACCTACCACCACAATTACTGTGTATGTCAGTACACAGTAATTTATTTTTTTAGAGTTTTCTATACCATTGAACTCCAAAACAGTGGCATCTTCAGTAAGTCACAGTGATATAAAAATGATGATGTACAATGATATATGCAATTATATTGTGATGCAAACCCCACCATTATGTACTTGTATCATAAGTCATGATACTTGTGTGCATTTTGTCACTTCTTGCCCCCCCCCCAGTCCCTAACAGATGGCTGTGCTCCAAATTGATTCCTGGCAGGTTATAGTTAAAAGCATAAATCGATAACTAATAATAAAACATTTCAGAATACACCAATCAAATAATGCGCACTGGCACCCAGTCCATCCGGTTACTACTCTGATTGATACTGAGAGTATAAATGTTTGGATTAAAAATGGGGTTGTTTTATCACTGTTTTTTTTTACCCTACTTCTGTTCATCTGGTGGTCTTTCAAATTACACCATGAGTTCGTTAGTGCTGAGATAAGGCTGTGATATATTTGTTTAGAAAATAGTCTTGCCAAGTTTATGAACAAATGGAATCAGGACTCTCTCCATGTCATCAATGGGAGGAGGAAGCATTTGGTAGAAAATTAAATTCCACTTCAGTGAGGCATCACATGCTTTGCATTCAGATGGTTCCAACTTCAGTTTCAACCATCTTCACATCTAAAAACCAGGTGGCAAATAAATCCTGCCTGGTGCTTTAGAAACCCTCTGCCAGTTGGAGGCAAAATATTTGGATAACTTGTTTATTTTGTCTGTACCAAGAAAGCAATCTCAAGATTCAGATATAACATCAGTCTGAATGATATTTTATATGGACTGACATACAGAAAATACAAAAATCATTTGGATTTGTCTTAGTATCTTAACCTCCCCACAACACACCTGCAATGCATAGAATCTTTCTTTCTTTTTTTCTTTTTTTAGTAATTTACAGCTGATTTTTATCATCCTCCAGAATGCTAATTTTCATTTGATACATATCAGTGCCTCCAGAACATAATAATCTTGAAAAACAGTTCAGTAAATAGTCCTTACAAGGAGAGTAGCTAATTTCTTCCCATTCCTTTCACTTCCTTCTCTCTTTTGTGAGCTTTAGCAATGTGGGTAAGCTGTGGTATATGAAAAAAACATTTTTCAGAATTGTGAAGTCTGTCTTCTACTTATTTTCAGGCATAATCTGAAATGTTTACTAGACCCTCTGCAGTCTTCCAGTCAGAACCATTGTTTCTAAAAGCTAATGTCACCTATTTATGGATTGCAGGAGTTGGTTTTGACCGAGAGGCTAGTATTCGCTGCTCGCTTGTTCACTCACAATCCGTACTGCAGCGAAGACGGAAACTGAGGAGGAGAAAGACCATCTCTGGCATCCCCAGAAGAGTCCAACAAGAAATAGGTGGAGTATAAATAAAATCTTGCCTAGAGAGCCGAAGTACTGCCTTAATGCGACTCTAGCCTGCTTTCTCAACCGTTTTCCAAACTACTGATTGTAGCTTCAAGTATTATGCATTTGGTATGGTTTATTTGTTTCATCTTTTTTGTGAATATTGCCACCCGTCTATATTGCTCCTTACAGACTGAGCGCAAGGAGCTTCACTTACATGGTTTGTGGGCTTCCCTCAGTAGTGCAGATATACATCCAGCCCGCATGGTCTAAATAAAATCTTACCTGATTTCTGTAGAATTTTGTTCTTTTAGTTTGCTTTGTACGTGAAAAGTAAGTAGCTTAAATTATTTTTTCTTGTAAAACCTAACAAATGTTTCCCTGTGATGTGCTGGTAAGTTGTCACAGACTAATTCATTTAGAAGATCTATTCCAGACAACTCTCCACATATTATCTGTTCTGTAAACTTTATCAACTAGTTTTTTTCCACCATTTTTAACTTTTAACTTTTTCCTCTTAATTGCTAACTATCAAGTTCATTCAATTAGACAAGCTCACTTAGTTTTTTCTTACACTGAAGTATCCCAGTAGTAACTAGCTTAAAGTCATTTAAACTTGTCATGTGAAAGACTCAGTATGCTTCTATTATGGCAACAATAGAAAGATCAGAGTGGCATAAAACCAGCCAGCTCCTTAGATTTCAGATGCAGTTGATATGATTATTCCCTTGCAAATATGCATTTCATGTCTGCAGAGAAAACACCACTTGGGAGAATTGCAGTCATACATTAAATATTCCTTCTCCCCACTGAATCCTCTGTCCAGATTAGTTTTTCTTCTACAGTAAGGATCATCCTTGGTAATGTTAAGCATTGTTATGTGAAACATCAAGTGTGAAGGAGCAACTATTTTTATTTTAATTCTTCTTTATAAAACTAAAACCTACCCTGTGAACTTTTTAGGCCAATGTTAATGTCATAGCTTGTTAGCTAATGGAAAGCTGTGATGTCTCACAAAGTTTTATGTATATATCCTAGATTCTGATGAATCACCAGTAGCAAGAGAACGGAATGTCATTGTGCATGCAAATCCAGACTTCTCTAATAACATCAACAGGAGATCAGGTACCAGAGACTCTGAGTGCCAAACAGAAGATATTCTCATTGCTGCTCCATCCCGGAGAAGAATACGAGCTCAGAGGGGTCAGAGTGCAGTAGCTTCTCTATCTCATTCAGCTGGTAACATATTGGTGCTGACAGATAATGGTGACTCTATGTTTACATCAATGAGCAATCGTGTTCGATCAAGGAGTCTTCCTCGTGAAGGTGCTAGAACCAATGAAAAAGACCACAACACTGGTGCCAAAATGTCAGCATATGAAGCAGAACACTTTTTAACAAACCAAGAACGAATCTCCACAAAGAGCAAGGATGCCATTAATAACCACTGTTCACAGGAACATCATCCCAGGGGCTTATCTTGTTCTCAGCATCTTCATAGTCCAGATCATAACTCAAATGAAAGAGGGAGGTCAAGGTTATCAAGGATGGTAGATTCTGGAAGTTGTGATATTTCATCAAACTCTGATACCTTTGGAAGTCCAATTCACTCTATCTCCACAGCTGGGGTTCTTCTCAGCAGTCACATGGACCAGAAAGATGATCATCAATCATCTAGTGGAAACTGGAGTGGAAGTAGCTCAACATGTCCTTCCCAAACATCAGAAACAATTCCTCCTGCTGCCTCACCTCCATTGACAGGTTCTTCACACTGTGATTCAGAATTATCATTGAACATTGCCCCTAATGCCAATGAAGATTCAAGTATTTTCATAACTGAACACTACAGTGAACAGATAGATAAAATTAGAGGCCACAGGGCAAGTTCTTTCACTTCCACTGTTACTGATCTACTAGATGACCCTAATAACAGCAATACAAGTGACAGTGAATGGAATTATTTGCATCATCATCATGATGCATCCTGCCATCAAGATTTCAGCCCTGAACACCCCAAGACCGATAGTCTGGGCTGTCCAAGTTTTACAAGCATGGCCACTTATGATAGTTTTGTAGAGAAGACTCCATCTGATAAAGCAGACACTAGCTCACATTTTTCAGTTGATACTGAAGGCTACTATACCTCCATGCACTTTGACTGCGGACTCAAAGGAAATAAAAGTTATATTTGTAACTATGCAGCTGTGGGCTCTGAGAATGGCCAGAATACAAGTTTTGCTTCCAATCTTGCTCACTGCAATTGGCAGGATTATATAGATCATAGGAAGCAAGGAAAACCGAGCATCTCTCTAAAGAAACCAAAGGCGAAGCCAGCCCCACCAAAACGCAGTTCATCTTTAAGGAAATCTGACAGCAGAACAGATATTTCTGAGAAGAAAGAACCAAAGATAACTAGTGGGCAGCAGCACATGCCTCATGCTTCCAGGGAAATGAAGCTGCCCCTTGAGTTTGCAAACACACCTTCAAGAGTAGAAAATGCTAACCTGCCAAGTAAACAGAAACAGTCCTGGGATAATCAGGATGAGAGTGATGTAAAAGGCCTCCCATTTGATACCATGGATATTGCATCATTTAAAGATGAAGGTGCTGAACAATCTCACTATGCAGATCTCTGGCTTCTAAATGACTTGAAATCTAATGATCCCTATAGGTCTTTATCTAATTCAAGCACTGCTACGGGTACCACGGTCATAGAATGCATAAAGTCACCAGAAAGTTCTGAATCTCAAACATCACAGTCTGGATCAAGAGCCACCACTCCTTCTCTGCCTTCAGTTGAGAATGAGTTTAAGTTGGCTTCCCCAGAAAAACTGGCGGGTTTAGCTTCTCCCTCAAGTGGATATTCCAGTCAGTCAGAAACCCCAACATCATCATTTCCAACAGCATTTTTTTCTAGTCCCCTATCCCCAGGAGGGAGTAAAAGAAAGCCAAAAGTACCAGAAAGGAAATCCTCATTACAACAATCTTCTTCTAAAGATGGCAACTTATCTTTAAACAAAGACTTAGAACTTCCAGTTATACCTCCTACTCATCTTGACCTAAGTGCTCTTCATAATGTCTTGATTAAACCATATGCTCATAGACCCCAGCTACATGCTTTTAATAATAATAAATCAAATATAATCGAAGAAGCACTGAATTCTAATTCCTCACCAGCTCTTGCTATTACACCTTCAGTGCTGAAGTCAGTACATCTACGATCAATTAATAAGCCTGAAGAAATTAAACAGAAAGACAATCCAGACTTTCTACACATTCAAGAACACAGTTTAGTAACTGCTATTTCTTCATGTAAAATGAAACCACGTGTAAATAAGAAACAAATGTCACATCAGTACTTCATAGAAGATGCCATAGTGTCCTATATCAATCCCTCTCCAGTACAGATAAGCCCAGAACAACTAGAAACAGAAAATAGTTTAACCTTTAGTGAAAAAAATACCTGTCAAGAGAATCTAAGCTCATTAGAGGAGGGTGCTCCAGCAGCTAAAAGTGTACCAGATCAAATACATTCAGTACATGAAATTTTACTAGAGAGTACAACTAATAAAGCCTGTGGGGCTTCTGTTGAACAATTTCCACAAGGCACAACAGTTCTTTCAAGCAATCTTGAAGGGAAAATAATTACTTGTGGGTCAGAACAGGATAAGAGTCTTGACCCCGTGCAGTTTCCATATGAATTGCCTGCACACTGTGAACAAAAGTTGAAATATGAACCACTAAATGAAGATATTCCCCAGTCTGACTCCTTAACTTGGGGAGCAGTTACTTGTTATCAGCTAAAGCATCAGCTTGATCTAAGCCAACATGATGACAAAGTGCCTGAGAATATCACTTATGAACCAGAGATCTCAAATATAGATTCACTCAGTGAAAAATGCTCTGAGCAGGAAAATGATATTGTGTCAGGTATTCCAACCAAAAGTGCCTCAGATGACAGTGATAGCAGAGCAGCTGAGATACAAGGAACTACAGAAGATGATACCCTAAAAGGTTAGTTCTTGATTATTCCTGTGTTACTAATGAGATAGCACTTAATGCTAGAGATCATGTTGTTACTTGACTGTATTAATGGATAATTTGCAGAGTTCCATTAATTTCAGTGGAACCTAGCATATTGCAGCTATAAATGTATGATCCTTTGAAGAAATAAACAGGTAGTCCTTGACCTATGACCATTCATTCAGCAACTGTTCAAAGTTACAATGGCTCTGAATGAATGGTGGTTATGACCGGTCCTCAGAATTCCAGCTGTCCCAGCACTCCCGCAGTCACATGATTGCAGTCTGGGCGCTTGGCAACCAGTTCGCACTCACAACCAGTTGCAGCACTCCACAATCACATGATTGCCATTTGTAACTTTCCCTGCCAGCTTTCCCAGAAAGTCAGTGAGGAAGCCAGCAGGGAAGGTCGCAAGTTGCTGGGGCAAGTCTCCACCACCTGCGCATCTTCCCCCAGCCCCTCTGAGCTCATGCCACGCTGGCCCTTTGCGCACTCTCCCCAACTTGTGCTGCACCCTCCCCGGTCCATGCTGCATCCTCGCACACCCTCCTCAACCCTCATTACTCCCTCGCATACCTGACCCTCACCACACCCTCACACACTCTCCCCAACCCATGCCACACCTCTCATGCACCCCGTCACATCCTCATGCACCCTCCCCAACCTGCACTGCGCTTCTTGTGCACCCTCCCTGTCCCACGCCACACCTCTTGCACACCCCCTCGCAAGCTCATGCACACTCCCCAACCCTCGCTGCACCTCTTGCGCACCCCTTCATTCTCTCTCCAACCTGGCAGCAGCCACTTACTTGCCTACTGGCCTGGGACTTGAAACTTCCTGCTAACTTCTCCACTGACTTTGGTGTGGAAAGCTGGCAGGAAGTTGCCTTGCCTAACCACTGTGGGATTCGGTTAATGACAGCAACTAGAACTTCAGGGATTGCAGTCACTAAGCAATGCAGTCGCGCTTTACAACCACATCGCTTAGCGACAGAAATTCCAGTCCCAAATGCTGTCGTAAGTCGAGGACTACCTGTATATGTTTATACATAAATCTGCAATTCCTTTTAATTTTCAGCTACAAAAAGAGCTCTTTATCACTAATATTAATTTAACAACTTCCCCAATATTTAGCCTAGATTTTGATACAAGGAATTCCATTAATTAAAAAGACTACGTAATCAAGTTTTGGTGCCTGATTCTCAGCAGTTTTCTTTTTTGTTTTGAAGAATCTTCTGTGAGTGATGATTCTATAATCTCACCCTTAAGTGAGGATTCTCAAACTGAAGCAGAAGAGTTTTTGGTGTCTCCAAATAAACCGCGAACAACAGAGGATCTGTTTGCAGTAATTCACCGGTAAGTTAATGTTGCCATAACTGGAAACTGTACTTTTTATTGTAGTAATAACAATTTATTCAACATAAGGGTGATAAAGTATTTGTTTCAGAAACTAGGTTTGTCAGTCCAGGCCAGTCTAAGTATTTCTATAGTTTAAAGTAGGAAAGTGCAGACCATCAGACAAGTACTTTGCTTCAATGAAAACTTAGATGCAATGCCCCCTAGAAGCTGCTTTGTGAAAGCCGTGGCCATGTTCCCATCTCATTTTTCCCTACCGCAAGTGCCAGTTGAAGCTACAAGACTCCATGAATCACCTTATCAAAACTGATTGTTTCTTCCCAAGAGGAATCACTGTTTTGTTGAGGCCCATCAAAATTGCCTTATTCAAACTCAGTATAAAAGTTAATTGGAACAAGTGAAAGCATAGATCATGATGCAACTTGTTTACATTTTTTAAACTGTCATTCATAATTAATTACCCCTTTTATTATTTTTTTAATTAAAAACTATATTAGGAGCAAAGGGAAGGAATAGGATGCTAACTTGAAAGTAACAGTTGGGGGAGGAAACAGAAAGTGGCTGAATTTCAAGTTTGCTAGAGGATAAGCTGCTCCTTCTGCTACTCTTTGTTCTTCCCTGCATGTGATCAGTTATTTGAAGACCACACTGGAGTTGTGTGAATGCATACACAACATTGCTTGGGAAAGGGTACAAGCAGTACAAACCCTGCCTGAAGTCACTATTGAAGAAATTCTATTTTACAAATGCTATGAAGAGATTGTGCCAAACACAAATATCTCTACAAAGGAAGAACAAAGTATTGTTTTTTTCAGGAATAAACTGAAGAAAATATCAGAGAAATTGTTTCCCACTCCAATAAAGCAGGGATACAAGTTTAATGCATGAAATTTTATCTGAAATCTTTGATTGATTGATTGATTGATTGATTGATTGATTGATTGATTGATTATGTGCCATCAAGTTGGTGTCAACTCTGACCAACCACGTGGATAGACCTCCTCCAGGATGATCTGTCTCCCATCTCACCATGTTCTATACAGACTATGGCTTCCTCTCCTATGTAGGAGGACAATGAGATGTTCTGGAATTCCAATTTTGCTAAGAACATTCCACAGCTTGATATAGTCAAAACATTTAAAGCCCCTCAGTGTCTCAATGAAGTACATATTGACTTCTTTTTGGTATTCTTTGACTTTCTCAATTATCTAGCATGCATCAGCAATAATGTCTCTTGTTTCTTGGCCTTTTCTAAAGTCAGCTTGAACATATGGCATCTCCTGTTCCGTGTAGGGTTCTAATCTGTGTTGGATGATCTTAAGCATTATTATTTATTATTTCACAATCATGTGAAATTTAGGATATTGTACAATAGTTTGCACAATCTGTTAAGTTTCTTTTCTTTGATATTGATATGTAGACTCACTTCTTCCAATCTGCTGGCCGCTATGTCATTCTCCAAATTTGCTGGCATAGTTAGAATCTTTACTGATTCTGCTGTTGTTTCTCATATTTCCTGTGGCCATGTCTTTGCTGTATTAACTGAGCTTTTCTAGCTCCTTTTACCAATAATATAGTCAATTTGATTTCTGTCTACTCCATCTGGTGAGGTCTATGCATATTGGCAATTTTTTGGTTGAAGACTATGATAGCAATGAAGAAATCATTGGACTGGCAAAAACTGATGTTGTTCTTCTGCTTCATTTCTGTTTCTTATGCTATATAGTCCAACTACACTTTTCTCCTTACTATTTACAACATTGACATTTCAGTCTCCAACTACAAGCAATACACATTACTTGCATTTTCTATCAATTTCAGTTTGAACATGAGCATAAATCTCATCAACTTCCTCTTCTTTTACATCAGTAGTTGGAGCATAAACTTGGATAACTGTCACAGTAAAGGGTTTTCCATGAAGTCTAATTGATATTATTCATTCATTGACTGTATTGCACGCAATTACTGTCTTTGCTATATCTTTCCTGACTTTTAAAGCAATGCTGTTCCTTCTTTGTTCTTCATGTAGCAATAAACAGTAAGATCTTCTGACTGAAAGTGGCCAATTTCAGTCCATTATTATTAGCTGATGCCTAAGATGTCAATGTGTAGTTAATTCATTTGTCTCTCATTGTGTTAAGCTTTCTATGTTCATGCTTCTTATATTCCATGTTCCCACTGTAATTCTGTTTTTGCAACTTCAGATTGTTTTTCCTGCATGGCAGTATCAGCAATTAGATGTCAAGAGGTCTTTGATCTAGCCACACCATAAACATTTGTACTCATATAAGGACACCAGATTCTCTCAAGCTAGTGACCTTGAGAGATTTGACATTTTTTTAAAAATCATGTGATTTTAGTGATCCAGCTATGTTATCATAATTGCCCTATCACAACTGCCATGTATTACTGGCACCAGTTTGTCCTGGCCCAAGCTATTTTTTATTGCTTTGCAGTATTTCCTAAATCAGCCAGGGACAGGGAATGGGGAGGAAACCACTATATAACCAAATTCCATTTCACCAGCCCTGGTCTTTTCCCCCACTTTTTCCATTTGCCCGTCCAAACTCAGATAATATGGCCACCTCTAACATCTGGAAGGTAGAACCCTCAATTTTATACCTATTAATAGTGCAGTAGGGAACTTCTACAATGAGATCTAATTTAAGCTTCTGGACCTAGGCAGTGGACCCCAATGCCATATCATATAACTTACAATTGTATCAAACTTGATTATGTATAATTAGATAAATTCACATCAACCTAATATGGCATATGGGGTCCATTATTTTTGAACTAGAACCATAATTTTCAGAAGGTCTGTACTGAGAAGGAACTTATCATGGAACTGTAAATCCAGTTCCTTTGAATCCATTTATTGAATATATAATTCCCAAATCTGTACTAGAATTTTTTTAAAGATGGCCATCATGAGCTGAAATTATCTTTCAAAGATGGAGTTTCTGAGGCAGTACATTTTATTCTAGTTATATTTGCTTTTACTATGAAAAAAACACATATAGCAATAAACTGATAATATTTTTATATTCTAGTTTTAATTGGAGAACATATTGTTTAATTGCTAATCTTGTGCATATATATATGCGCATATATATATATATATATATATATATGCGCATATATATATGA